GATGATTTCGGGGCTTTTAGTGTCCCCGCGGCCCGGTCCTCGACCAGGCCTCCACCCCCAGGAAGCAGCCCGTGACAGCTGACTAACACCCAGATACCTATTTTACTGCTAGGTAACAGGGGCCTAGGATGAACGAAACTCTGCCTATTGTTTCTCGCCGGCGCCTGGGATCGAACCCAGGACCACAGGATCACAAGTCCAGCGTGCTGTCCGCTCGGCCGACCGGCTCCCTCACATGTGTGGAGACTCGTGTCATTCTAAAACAGAATGCTCTTCTTCTCATCTCACTGCATCAATTGCGGTAACGTCCACCCTACCTTTTCCCACTCATATGTGCACTACAAATTTTAAGGAAGCCATCCTCAATTTGAAACATCGCGATCTTTTCCCGAGGCAAGACGCCAGGTTCGCCGTCTTCTCTCTTTCTCTAGCATGTCTTATGCTCGTGTGTTGCATTCCACTTCTCGCCCTTTCCTACTTTCCCAGTTTTTGCAACCTTTTCCGGGCATTGTACCCCGACACCTCCAACACCACCACCACCACCTGCTCCTTTGCATTCTAGGCCAGAGGATCTTCCTCTTGGTTCTCTGTCTGGTGTTACCTTCCGTCCCGGTCTTCCCTGTCTCCTGTCCCCTTTCCCTTCTCACCCTAGTCTTTTTTTTCTCAGCCCTCCCCTCTGGCTTTTGGCCCTCTACAATGCCTGTCTGTCCAGGCCGTTGTCTATCCTTCTCCTGGCAATCTTCATGTTGACCACTCCCGTTCTCCTGCTCCTGTTTAGACTGTAGAGGCTGTGGCCCAATACGTTGCTGCTGGTACGTATGTATGTGTCTGTCAGAAATGTAAACCTGGCTCCTCTTCTTCTTCCTTCTCAGTGGGTAAGAAGACATTGCTATATTCCTCACTTCCCGCCTCCGAATCTAGTCTGCATCCCCTCCATTTCAGTGGTGGAGTCACCTGTCCCAGCTACGGAGGTTTCCTTGGTCCTTGATTCTCTCTCAGATGCTGCCCTTGATCCAGTGCACTTCTCTTTTTTCTGTCTTTCCTTCCCCCCAATTCCCTTGACTGCCCCTTCTCCGATGCCTCCTCTCGCTACAGACGTTGGTCCGTCCTCTTGCATCCTTGACTCCCTTGTCTTTACTAGATTAACCTATGCCCCCGTAACTTGTCCTGCATTGGACAGATTCCTGTTCGGATCTCCAAAAATGGTCGGTTAAATGCCAGCATTGGCATAGTTATTCTCCCAAACCAAGTTGTGTCTAGTGATAGGGAACTGAAAGACTGCCACAAGGATATTAAGTATATCCTTAAGGCCAAGCCAAAAAGGTAACCAGCCCTGTAACCCCGATTTCACTGATCTTGTTCTTACTTAGACATGTTCTTACTTACTTACTTACTTACTTACTGTTCTTACTTCTTACTTACTTAGACGTGTTCTTCTTTGCCTTTTTTTCTCCCTCGTTATTTCTGTTTCTGTTTTATCCCCTTTTTGACAAATGTCTATTCTTCAATGGAATATTCATAGTTTTTCTGCCAACTTTAATGAACTCTAACTTCTGATAACGCAGTTTTCACTGCTTTGTGTATGTCTCTAGGAACCGATGCTTGGCGCTCATCCTGGTCCAACCAGTTCTCGCAAATTCGTAAAGTCAATATTGACTTATTAACTACGTACATAGGTGATATACTAAACATAATAGATACCATTAAAAAGATTCATAGAAAACACCGACCTTACCTAACCTTGTTAGTATCTTAAGATAAGCATCTTATTGCTTCGTAATTACAATTATTACTTAACCTATACCTATTATAGGTTAGGTAATAATTGTAATTACGAAGCAATAAGATGCTTATCTTAACATACTAAGTAGGTTAGGTAAGGTCGGTGTTTTCTATGAAGCTTTTTAAGGGTATCTGTTATGTTAAGTATGTCACCTATGCACATATTTAATAAGTCAATATTGACTTATTAAATTTGCGAGAACGGGTTGTATTGTGGCGGATGAGGTGTCGGTCGTGGCCAAACTGGGCTCACACTTCTCGATTGTCAGCTCCGGTTCTTATCTTCCTCCTTTCCTTACTCGTAAGCCCCTTCATGAATGTTTCCTCTTAGATTTTCGCACATATCTTCAGCTTAACTATAACGATCCTTTCTCTCTGAAGTCCAGTGTGCCCTGACTCTCTGAGGATCTATGGTAACAGGCTCAGATGATATTCATTATGAGATGTTTCGCAATCTCCCTCCAAGCACGTTTCAGTATTTACTTAATACTGTACAGCATTTATAACCGTATCTGGGAGTCGTCGTCAGTCCCTGCGGACAGGCCTGAGGTGGTTTTTCTTCATATTTGGAAACCTGGTTCTCTAGGGTCATCCCCTAAGGACTTTCGCCCCATTCCTCTAACGAGTTGCGTCTGCAAACTCTTTGAGCATATGGTCAGTGTCCGTCTGATGTGGTTTTGGAATGCTATTACCAAACTCTCCTTTTCTCAATTTGGCTTTTGCAAGTGTCACAGCACGAATGATGTCTGAGTGAACTTGGAGGTCTATATTCATACTGCCTTTGCTGCGAAGACCTACGTTTTTCAGGTCCTCTGAGTTGAATGCTCCGAGGCCCTTAACTTACTTCAGGTCTTGTCCTGTACTTCCTGGGGAACTAATAGGCGCACACTTCTCTCTTCTGCTGCCTAAACTTGACTATAGCTGTCCTGCTTACTCGTCTGCCTCTCCCTCAACTCTTCGTCGTCTTGATACCCAACGTGCATTGTCTCTCATACTGTCGTGCATATCCTTGTTGAATGTCCTGACTTCTGGGATGTGCGTGCGTCTTGCTTCCCAACTGTCCCCTCGTGGTCACCTGTCCCTCAATAGAATTCTTGGTGAATCAGATACCTTTGATATCGTTCGTCTTATGCGCTTTTGTTCTAGTATTGGCTTCCTTAGGGATATTTAGCACCTTTTGATTATCCCACATATTTGATGGTGCTACATAGTCTCTCCAGCTTCGAACCTTCTTTGTGATAATTACTTGCTGACGATACTACGTTCATGTATTCAGACCCCAAACCACACACACTAAATAATATTGTTAATGTGACCAGACCACACACTAGAAGGTGAAGGGACGACGACGTTTCGGTCCGTCCTGGACCATTCTCAAGTCGATGAGGTCCGTCCTGGACCATTCTCAAGTGAATCGACTTGAGAATGGTCCAGGACGGACCGAAACGTCATCGTCCCTTCACCTTCTAGTGTGTGGTCTGGTCAAATTACTTTAGCCACGTTATTGTGACTCATCGCCTAAATATTGCTAAGCAGTCTCCGTGGTGTAGTGGTAAGACACTCGCCTGGCGTTCCGCGAGCGCTATGTCATGGGTTCGTATCCTGGCCGGGGAGGATTTAATGGGCGCAATTCCTTAACTGTAGCCTCTGTTTAACGCAACAGAAAAATGTGTACTTGGATGAAAAAACGATTCTTCGCGGCAGGGGATCGTATTCCAGGGACCATAGGATTAAGGACTTGCCCGAAACGCTACGCGTAAATCATCAAACTAAATTCACCCTCAGATAGACAATGTTAACATTACCAATAAAAATAATGGAACATTCCTTGTCCTATAGATAGACAAGACTAAAACTTCAGCACCTACATACAACACAGAGTCTTGGTATACTCTCTAAAATCAGATATTATGTTCCCCACTCTGCTCTCCTTTCATTATACTACTCGCTAATATATCCCTATCTTACGTAAGGTACCTGTGGATGGTGTTCAGTCACTACAAATTACCTCAAGCCCATAACAAATCTGCTATTATAACTGTAACCAACTCGGTTTTCAGAAAACACACAGCCTCTTTGTTTAAGTCCCTAAACATGCTAAACATATACTCACTCTACACATATACCTGATCAACCAGACTGTGATTCATACGTCAGGCTGCGAGCAGCCGCGTCCAACAGCCTGATTGATCAGTCCGGCAACCAGGAGGCCTGGTCGACGACCGGGCCGCGGGGACGCTAAGCCCCGGAAGCACCTCAAGGTAACCTCAAGGTAAGGCAAGGTATCCTCTTGTGCTATTTACATGTTCAAAACCGTGTTCCTAAATGCTAATCCTAATCTAATCTAATCCTAATTTAAATATATATTTATACAATACAATACAATTTTATTTAGGTAAGGTACATACATACAATAAATTTTTACAAGGATTGTTTGACTTATAGGTATAGCTAGTACATACAATGCCTAAAGCCACTGTTACGCAAAGCGTTTCGGGCATTATCTTATCGATATCTTTGATATCTCTTAAATCTATGCAAACACTCCGTACAACACACAGTAAAAAACTCAAAAACTGTCGGTATACTCTTTAAAATCAGATATTATGGAAAGGATGCAGGATGAAAGGATGCATAATCAGAAAGGATGCAGTCTATGGAACTCACTCCCTAATGAATTAACAAATCATCCAACTTATGCTTTATTCAAATTAAAAAAAAAAGTATGTAATTTCATGCTCATAGTGTCCTGCCTTGTGCTAAAAAAAAAGTATGTAATTTCATGCTCATAGTGTCCTGCCTTGTGCTTCAAACTCACACTGTATCTTGTACTAAAATATTATTACTCAAGACATTCAACTTCACCAGTGTAATCATGTCCACCAATTTATTAAAAATTTTGCTACAATGTACCTATTAATAATCTTACCTTATACGTTAGAGTAAGGACCTTCCCGAAACGCTATGCGTGTTAGTTAGTACTTAAGACATTCAACTTCACCAGTGTAATCATGTCTACCAATTTATTAAAAATTTTGCTACAACGTACCTATTAATAATCTTACCTTATACGTTCGAGTAAGGACCTTCCCGAAACGCTATGCGTGTTAGTGGCGTTGCAAGAATGTAAGAACGCCAATGTTATGTTCTCTCACAAACCCATTGTATCTTCTTGTATATACAGTAAATAAATAAATACAGTATTAATGAATTCTTACCTTGGATGGATCACAGCGATCAATTAGAACAGTTGAGACACTTGTGTGTAGAATGGTGTCGCTGATAGACAGAGGAATCAGCAAGACAATAACTAAGGAGACTGTTGGAGCTAAGGTGAGCCCAAGCAGTGAGAGCACTTGCAAGACAGAACTGTGAAACAGTTCGAGTGTTGGGTCATCATAAAACAAGGACACCTTTCCTGTGAGGAACCCTGCGAGTGCACCAACAATGCCCTTAGGAGAAAAAGAATGAAAAACATTACAGGTAATGTGTTGCATTAAAAAATACTTCATCATCACAAATCAATGGTAGATATGATAAAACAGTCATGCTGTGTATGGATAGTACTGTACAGAAATTCAGCATCATTCATTGTCCTGGACAGCACTAGTCATCAAATTGACAATGATTGTTACACTTTGCAGTGTATGCAATGTGTCTTCTAGTAAAAAAAAAGATCTAAGGTATTGTTAAAAAATAATTAAAACTAAATGCAAGAAACAAAATTTAACACAAGAAATTAAATGAGTGAAACCGAGGGAAAGAGAGTACCACGAGTGTCTCATAGTGCAGTTGGCTTTGTTTTAAACTCTCAATTTGGTATTTGGGATTCGATTCCTGTAATGAGATAGGCCTAGAATTTGGTCTGGTGATGTGACATGCTCTATGATTGTAGGTAGGAAAACTACGTGACAGGGCAGCATCCAGAAGACTGTGGTTGGAGATGCTTTGAGCATCTGAGACATTTACATTGATGTGAATTATTAGCTTAAGAGGAGTAGTCATTTTACAAGAGTATGATAGAAGAAGGTCAGGATAATATACTGTAGAGGCAGACATTGAGAGGTCAGGAATAGCAAATCTTGAAGGTAGGGCCTGTCTACAGTATGAATCTTACTGAGATCATCTAAAACAAACGTTATTTAACAAATAAAATAAAATTGTTAACTAGGCTTAGCACTTCAGTTAAAAAATTTTCAGTTTCATATAAAGCATTTGATGCTATGACAAACGTCCCTTACAAGCCCTTCCACAGTGATGATGATGGCTGTTTTTGCCAATGTCATTCTGTTTTTTTTTTAGATATTTGAGATATATACAAGAGTCGTTACATTCTTGTACAGCCACTAGTACGCGTAGCGTTTCGGGCAAGTCCTTAATCCTATGGTCCCTGGAATACGATCCCAGCCGCGAAGAATCGTTTTTTCATCCAAGTACACATTTTACTGTTGCGTTAAACAGAGGCTACAGTTAAGGAATTGCGCCCAGTAAATCCTCCCCGGCCAGGATACGAACCCATGACATAGCGCTCGCGGAACGCCAGGCGAGTGTCTTACCACTACACCACGGAGACTGTGTTATTTAAGTCTGACCTTTGAGGCATTCCATGCCAAATCATCACAGTTCCAAACCCGATTACCTCAGATTTGCATGAAATTTAGGAGACGGTTAGAGCATATGAAGTAACATACAAGAGTTTAGGCATCAGTGATAAATGATATTAATACATCAGGGTTGCCAATATGATAAAAATACAAAATTTTTGTGGGGAGCTCCTACGGCTCCTCGGAGCTATTCAGGCTGAATAGGATCTTGTTATCTTGAGGTTATCTTGAGATGATTTCGGGGCTTTAGTGTCCCCGCGGCCCGGTCCTCGACCAGGCCTCCACCCCCAGGAAGCAGCCCGTGACAGCTGACCAACTCCCATGTACCTATTTACTGCTAGGTAACAGGGGCATTTAGGGTGAAAGAAACTTTGCCCATTTGTTTCTGCCTCGTGCAGGAATCGAACCCGCGCCACAGAATTACGAGTCCTGCGCGCTATCCACCAGGCTACGAGGCCCCTGGCCTTAGGATATCCCTAACTTTGGCATCAGTCGATGTGGGTGGAGTTCTAGGCCTACCGGGGACCACGAGACAGAACCTGGCCCCCTCAGAGAGGCACGAGGAGCAATGGTCTATAGAAATGCACATGTGATTTTGGAGTATTCTACATCAGCCATCGACCGGGACAGGCACCCAGATAGGTAAGTGCCACAAAACAAACCCATGTTCTGGTTAAAAACAATGAAAATAAACAAATGAGTGGACAGAACTCCCCAATTGAAAACAAGCAAACAAGCATGACGTCACACGAACCACGCCTCATGTCTGCGCAGCTCTCCTCTTCCCGGGAGGGAGAAGGGGGAGCCCCAGACCCCCATGTCGGCGATCCACCCTGCAGTTCCTCGGCTAATGGGATTCGGCTTGGTGGTTGTGGCTCCAGCTCCAGATTCTCTTTATGTTATACCTAGGTTCAGTACTTCTCTTGGGTGGTATGCGAACTGGGAGTAATATTCACAGGTACTCGTGCTGCATGTGCGTAGGGTCACCTTCCCTGAGTGCCCTGTAAGTACCGCCCTTGGGGCTTGGGGTCACCTTCCCTGAGTGCCCTGTAAGTACCGCCCTTGGGGCTTGGGGTCACCTTCCCTGAGTGCCCTGTAAGTACCGCCCTTGGGGCTTGGGGTCACCTTCCCTGAGTGCCCTGTAAGTACCGCCCTTGGGGCTTGGGGTCACCTTCCCTGAGTGCCCTGTAAGTACCGCCCTTGGGGCTTGGGGTCACCTTCCCTGAGTGCCCTGTAAGTACCGCCCTTGGGGCTTGGGGTCACCTTCCCTGAGTGCCCTGTAAGTACCGCCCTAGGGGCTTGGGGTCACCTTCCCTGAGTGCCCTGTAAGTACCGCCCTTGGGGCTTGGGGTCACCTTCCCTGAGTGCCCTGTAAGTACCGCCCTAGGGGCTTGGGGTCACCTTCCCTGAGTGCCCTGTAAGTACCGCCCTTGGGGCTTGGGGTCACCTTCCCTGAGTGCCCTGTAAGTACCGCCCTTGGGGCTTGGGGTCACCTTCCCTGAGTGCCCTGTAAGTACCGCCCTAGGGGCTTGGGGTCACCTTCCCTGAGTGCCCTGTAAGTACCGCCCTTGGGGCTTGGGGTCACCTTCCCTGAGTGCCCTGTAAGTACCGCCCTTGGGGCTTGGGGTCACCTTCCCTGAGTGCCCTGTAAGTACCGCCCTAGGGGCTTGGGGTCACCTTCCCTGAGTGCCCTGTAAGTACCGCCCTTGGGGCTTGGGGTCACCTTCCCTGAGTGCCCTGTAAGTACCGCCCTAGGGGCTTCCCTGGAAACACAAATCGAAACTGTCTCTATTTTCCGCTTGTTATAACTTGTAATAAAGTTGTTACATCTTGGCTTAACGTGTTTATGACGTATTAGAACGTTGTTACAACTTGCTATATTGGTTGTTATAACTGGTTAGGAGGTGTTAAAACTTGTTCGAACGTTGTACCAACGTCGTAGTTTCGGTGTGTGTTTGGCGGGTTGGGGTTACCTTCCACAAGTTACCTTGAGTCTATCTGTTGGTCTTTTGCTGCGTGGCAATTTACCCCGGAGTGTTTTGGTGGGGTTTCCTTTCTAGTTTGCCTAGAAAGTTTTTTTTTATTATTTTTATAAAAGAATACACAATGTACAAAACAGACACCCGCCGAAAGAACAAGTCATGAACATACACAGGACAATATAACAAAGGAAGTAAACACGGATACACTAAACATACCCAACAAAAACTAAGAAAGAAAACACATGACACAAAAAAAAGAGAACCCAGAAACGGGGACAGTATTTACCACAAAAAAACAGAACATGACATAAAAAGCACACAATAGAAATAACATAAAACATAGGCACATCCACACAACCTTAAGTACAGAAAGACAAAAGCAGAACGCACACATACAAGCCCAGCCCAACAACCCAAACACAGGGTTATCTTGAGGTTATCTTGAGATGATTTCGGGGCTTTAGTGTCCCCGCGGCCCGGTCTTCTACCAGGCCTCCACCCCCAGGAAGCAGCCCGTGACAGCTGACTAACACCCAGGTACCTATTTTACTGCTAGGTAACAGGGGCATAGGGTGAAAGAAACTCTGAAACAACAGGCCTCCGAAACCCCTAAGAGGCAAAATTACAAAACTACATTAAACAAAAAACATGGAAATACAGAACACTGAAAGTCAAACAGAAAGAACTGAGTACATTTCTTTTTTCTTACTTCGTTTCCTCATGCATAATTAAAAAGACATAATACAAAGGCAGAACACAAATCAATACAATACAATACAATTTTATTTAGGTAAGGTACATACATACAATAAATATTTACAAGGATTGTTTGACTTATAGGTATAGCTAGTACATACAATGCCTAAAGCCACTATTACGCAAAGCGTTTCGGCATAATTTCGGGCATAATCAAGAAAGAACAGATAAATAAGACATAAATAGCCCAAGGCAAAGTACATGGCACATAAAGAGAGATATAACAATCAGTAATGGCAAAAAGAACACACATAACACAGGAACAGTAGTACATGAAAGGGGATGGGGGGAGGAGGACAAAACAAACCCGGGCACCCCAACCCCCCACACAGAAAATCACAAAATACAGAAGAGGAGCATACATACACATACAAGCACACAAGTATAGAGCATACAAGCACACAAGTATGTGTGCTTGTATGCTCCAAAGACAGAGGAGCACATAAGCATACATACCATAAAGAACAAAAATGCACAAAACATAAAACCCATACAAGGCAAACAAAAAGGCCCACGCAGGAGTCAGGGAAAACATAAAAACCACACACAAGCACACCCAAACGAAACACACACCCACAGGAGCAACCACAACAGAAACAAAACAACCACACACACACACACACACACACCCCGCCCAACCCCCGCCGAGGAGGCCCATCGGAGGACCGGGGACCTAAAACAAACCGGAACAAGACCCACCCAACCAACCCACAGCCAACATCCACGACCAATCACTCAAAAGCAGCCCCACGAACATACGCACCAGTAAACCAACCACAAAAATCATCCGGAAAAGCACGCTGCAGCCACCACCAGGTGAACCGTAAGCGTCCTCTCAAAAACCCCAAAACCCTATCAACCCCATAACCCTCCCTCCGGCCAACCCACACACAATACACATAGTCAGCGACAAGAAGACAGAGCGTATTACGCACCCGTCGAGAGCCCCGCGGAAAAGACAAAAACGGCAAAAAACCACCCCGACATCCCGGCCCACAAACCACGGCCAACACAGCACGAAACCAATCAAGCAAACCACTCAGCCTCTCACAAAAATAGAAAACATGTAACTGAGTTTCAGGCAAACCACAGTGGACACATGCGTCAGAG